GTTTACAGACTGGAAGCGCAGAGGATTTAAACGAAAAAAGTCATGTGTGGCTCGGTTTAGCACTTATGTAAAACAGCGGCATTGTGGTTGTCTGTATGTGATTCGCCGATTGCATATTTTCAGTTCATTTCTCTAACCCCCCCTCCCCCCGTCTTTCGCTGACAATCCTGATAGGGAATTAGGTTTATCCGATTTACGCTTGGATTAGTATGAACAAGACACAGTTACCTACTCGTTTACTGCAATCAACCGCTTTGCCGTGCTCGTTTAAACTTTTCTTATGCAAAAGTCATTTACACACACAACGTTTATACAGTTTACACTATCGATCATTTCTAGTTAGGCACTGGGAAATCGTCAGTCGCATTTGTGCCGATTTTCCATGCGGATAGGGATAACCCGGTACATTAGAGTAAATTGGGCTTTTCTTTTTGTTGGGATTTTTGTTGTCTAGACAAAAGCTTCACAGTGATAGAATTTCGGCTGATCAACGATTTCCCGATATATCTAGTCGTCTCAGAACGATGGTATTTTTGCGTTCGCTCCAAATTGATGCTACATTCGTATGCTTTGCTCATCATTCGCAAAATTAACCCAATGAGGAGAATGCTTAGCGGTTACTTCATTTGATCACCCCTTATATCAGACTGGGAAGCGGACGGGGGAGGGGCATTCAGGTTTCTGCTGTTTGTGTTTTCGTTGTGGTATCAAATCGAATTTTGTTATTTGCCGCTTATACAGCAAACTATTCTGGTTTGGGATTTCTTTCACTCATTAGCAGATTGCAAACAATTTTTCTATTCGTCCTTTTCTGCTGGCATTTTTCGAGATGGGCCACTAGTTTTATGAACGAATAAGCTGGTCTGAAGCATCCGCATTCAAGCTTCTTAGTTATGTTGCGTGTGCGAAGTTTCCATATCAATGAACACTTTGAGATTTGTTGTCACGTGTGATTCAACAAATCGCAGGATCAACTACTTCGCACACCTACCCGCTAAGAATCACTGTAGCATAGGAAACGGAACATCTACGATGCTAATAGATCTTAGTTTTATTCTGCCGGAGTTCAGAATCTATCCAGACAAGAAACTTCTGGTTCACCTTCAGAGTAGCAATGCTCCGGTAACATTACTTGCTTTGCTTGGCCGAATTTAGATTCAATGACCTGGGACAGAGCGACCACACAACTGCGCGTTTCTCGAAGTCTTAGTCGTGGTCCACGAGGCCGCGGAGTGCATGTTAGTCATGCTCAGGGGACAGATGCACATCTCATTTAATCCAATTCACCGTGATCGATGCTATGTTCTGTTTTAACTGGAGTCTACTCCGCTTCCATCGTTTAAACATACCGTTAAGTACGGATTTTATTCAATACAAAAATTCCTTTTCATACTTTCGAATCTTGCAGTGAGCTTCCAATTATTCCATTTGAATACGACAAAATACTTGTGATTTTCGACATCGTGCAGTAGACAGCTGTTTCGTCCGGTTTGGGACTCGTCAGCAGTGCGTACTTTTTGTGTCCTACTCAGGACTCGAAACGTGAACATTCGGACTGGGACTTCAAACCCCTACCCATGAGCTACACAGTCGACGGTCATCAGCTCGTGCGATTGGCTCACTCAGTTTAGAGTATCAAGCGTGGCGTAACGCATTAGATTTGGTGTGGGTTTCACTCCCAAGGAGAGTCTGGTGCTTCTGAACAACTGAATGAGCTAGTCCAAACTTGTTACTCTAAATTCCAGTTATTCCGTTTGTCTTTTGTACATGCTTTTTAAGCACTACGGTTCAGGGATCTATTTGTTTGTCCTGCCTATGATCAGTCCGTTTATAGCAGCTAAACGGTATTCTATGCAGTGTCTGGGTTGCATAATAACAATCACATTTAACTACGGTTTATTCCATATTCTATGCTATATGCTGTTAGTTGTTGCTAGTGGTGGTTTGATAACACGGTCCGTCACCTACGCGTAGGTGATTGAACGCACTCAAACCCTGAGGTGGACCTCACGAATAAAACTTCTCGGCTGAAAAAATGTGAATCCTTTCCATGCACATGCAGGAGCGATAAAACGTTCTCGTTGTCTCACTTGTTTTTCACCCACAGCTCAAATTACCGCTCGCAAAGATGTAATTCGTAACAAGATTCGTGCAATTGGCAAGATGGCACGCGTGTTCACAGTGTTGCGGTAAGCGTGTTATTCAATCTGTCGAATGCCTTTTGGCGATCTCTGAAATTTACCAGTTATTTGACTTTGTGTGGTCTAAGAAAAAAGAACCTTTTATTTTTCCGCCAAATCTCCACTCTTACTAAAATCTCATGAAGCGTTATAGGATAACTCTGCTCAATATGAACAAGCCATACAGATTGGACGTGTGTATCACTAACATTTGCTAATATGATATATATTTCCAGATTTATGAAACCTGAATCGCAGGAAGATCAGTTTGGTGAAAGCTTCTAGCAGCGCGCATAAAGGTTTGTGTTCAGGAGGCAGGACTGTAAATTAATTGGCTTTACGGGCTGATTTTGCA